AAATATATCATTCTTCTGATGAACCAAATCAAATGTCTATTTCTTTGCTTAGAAATTTTGGATGCCATATAATATTAGCAGAATGAACTACTGTTGCCATTGCAAATGAAATAATTTTTGTTAATTAGTTATTAAAAATACCTAAGAAAACTCTTCAATTTTTAATATTTATTTTGTAAGCAATCACCTTACTAAGGGCTCTAATTTGGTCACAATTTTTACTTGATTTTCTTGAGTTTCATCAATAAACATGTTACCTATAAATAATGATAACTGATCTTTCCAGTCAAGTATTCCATTTGTTTTTCTTGTCTTATTGCAAAGCCTAGCACTTTCTGAACAGTCAAAGAGAATAGTGATAATAAATGTCTTGATAACTTTTTAAAACAATGCCTCTAGGGGTGCCTGGGTGGTACAGTCTGTTAAACATCAGACTCTTGGTTTTGGCTCAGGTCATGGTCTGTTTCATGGGATTGAGCCCCATTTCAGGCTCTGTACTCAGCAAGGAGTCTGTTTAGAGATTCTCTCTCCCTCTCACTCTGCCCCTACCTCCATTCCTGAACGCACACTCTTTCTCTCTCAATACATAAATCTTTAAGAAAAAAAAAAAAAAAAGAATCACTATTAATTGTGATGTTGCTGATGGTTTGAATAGTTTTTGACATTAAAAGTATTCTGCAAGATTCAGTTTGCCAGTATCTTATGAAGGATTTTGCTTCCATATCTATATGCATAAAAGCTAACATTTACTGAATGCTTACAAAATGTCAATCACAATCACAAACACTCTAAGAGCATTAACTTATGGCAACTCTGTAAGGTAGGTACTCGTTTTACATAAGGAAACTGAAGCACAGAAGCATTAAGTAACTTTTTCAAGATTACACATCTATAAAGTGGTAAAGGTAGGAACATGGGTAAATGTGAGACAAATTAGCAGTTTCTTATTATGTGCTATTTTTTCTTTTTAGCAGGTTTGAATATCAAGGTTATGTTCTTTTCATAAAATGAAACGTGCAGCTGTGGATTTTCATATGCCCTGCAACATATGCTCTGGAACATGCTATATTCCTTAAAAGTTTGAAGGATCAAATTCATAATCTTTTATGAGCTAAAAACTGCATCCTATTTAATTTAACATTAAAATTTAGACTTTTTTCCCTTTTGTGTGTTTGTCTCTTATATTTCAGTCTAATGCTTGCATAAATCTGGTGACCTGGTTCACAAGCATTTAGCCATTTTGGATAGAGCCTGACCATTTTACCTCACAGCCGAGGAGCCCCAAGAGACACTAACCATGTGATCTGGGGTGAGGGGCTTTGGTTCAAATGTAATCACCAAAGCCCCTCACCCCACATCAAATATAAGCAGTCAAACTGGTACTTGAGTTCATATGGGCAATCAACCAATCAATCATGCCTAGATAATGGAGCCCCAACAGAAACTCTGAACAGTGGGGGTACATATCAACCTCACACATTAACCCCACAGGGTAACTTGCCCCTGAGTCCACAGAGAGGAAAACAGAAGCTTCACACTTGGAACCCTCTGAGACTTTCCCCTAAGCATCTCTTCCTTTGGGTGATTTTTTTTTTAATTTTATTTTTTAAAAATATTTTATTTATTTATTTGACACAGAAAGAGAGATCACAAGTAGGCAGAGAGGCAAGCAGAGATAGAAGGGAAAGCAGGCTCCCCACTGAGCAGAGAGCCCCATGTGGGGCTTGATCCCAGGACCCTGGGACCATGACCTGAGCTGAAGGCAGAGGCTCAACCCACTGAGCCACCCAGGCGCCCCCCTTTGGGTGATTTTAATGTGTATCCTGTCCCTCTAATGTACCATAACTGTGATTATAATAGCATTCATTGAGATCTATGATTCCTTTTAGTGAATTATCAAGCCTGAGAGTCAGCTTTGGGGAATCTCCCCCCAAACCTACAGTTGGTGTCAGAAGTAAAGACAGATGTGGGGACTTTGTAGTCTGGCCAGCTCCACATACAACTAAGTTATCTTTTTAAAAGGAACAAAGAATTTACTTTTTTTAAAATAGGAACTCTAGCTGGTCATATATTAACATACAATTTCACCATTACTAAATATGATTTATAGAGAAATGGGAGTTATAAGCAGATATCAGTAATATAGAGACAAACAATATATTGTAACTGGCAGAGAAATGGCTTGCTGACTGTTCTTAATGGTTTGCCAAATGTCCTTATCTAAGCATTTAATGTATTTTGAAACTAGTTACATAGTATCTCCTTTTTGGCTTCAGAACATCTTGCTGGCAAGATCTTAAATTATTAACTCCATCATTATCTAGGTTTTGCTTAGGCCTTAACAGACAGTAGGTGCTCAATATTTGTCTAAGTCAAGTAAATCTATATATCAGAATTTGAAGAGTTTTGGAAAGGTCTCTCAGGCTAAAAAGATATTCTCAGTGACCCATCAAAGAGTTAAAATTCCACTATTCATTTTCCCCTAATATCTCCTACAGTCCACTAGCAATAAGTAAAAATGTCTAGAAATAACACACAGCATTTGAATAACAGATTCATTTAAATTATCAGATTCTTTTCTTTTTTTTTTTTTTTTTTAAGATTTTGTTTATTCGACAGACAGAGATCACAAGTAGGCAGAGAGGAAGGGAAGCAGGCTCCCTGCTGAACAGAGAGCCCGATATGGGGCTCGATCCCAGGACCCTGGAATCATGACCCGAGGCGAAGGCAGAGGCTTTAACCCACTGAGCCACCCAGGCGCCCCTCAGATTATTTTCTAATTTAGTAACTTGAAAATTTTTCAAATGTAGTAAGTACCAGTCATGCTTAATGAGAGAAGGGCAAAAGAAAGCCAGATTGACAGCAAGGCAAAGCAAGAAATTTGATGAAGGATCAGTGGATATGGATTCAGTAGGCTGAGGGGGCAGGATGCTGGGCAGAAATGGAGTAACATAAAAAGCACTGGATGCCAAAAGAGGAAAGGGATATTAGGAATACTAGGAGATAATGTGAAAAAACTCAAGACAACTGACCAATCTGACAATTTTAAGACCTCTTTCCACGAAATAAAGTATTTCATATAACTAATACAATCTGAGAGTGCAAGAGTTCTAGTGTTATGGTTTAATCTTTAGTGTATAACTTCATGTCCACATTACACTGACAACATCTCAATAAAAGACCCAAGTTTAGGGGTGCCTGGCTGGCTTAGTCAGTGAAGCAAGTGACTCTTTTATTTCAGGGTCGTGGTTTCAACCTCACACTGGGTGTGGAGATTACTTTAAAAAATAATAAAATCTTGGGGCACCTGGGTGGCTCAGTGGGTTAAAGCCTCTGCCTTCGGCTCAGGTCATGGTCCTAGTGTCCTGGGATCGAGCCCCACATCGGGCTCTGTGCTCTGCAGGGAGCCTGCTTCCACCTCTCTCTATCTGTCTGCTTCTCTGCCTACTTGTGATCTCTGTCTGTCAAATAAATAAATAAAATCTTTGAAAAAAAAAAATAAAATCTTTTCAAAAAAACAAAACAAAAACCCAAATTTAAAAGTGAATTCTTACATTTTTACATGCCTTTCTCATCACTCCTTACTCCTCTTCATCTTCCCCTGGAATTCCTAAGATATTCTAAATATTTTGTAATTTTAAGATTTTATTTATTTATTTGAGAGAGCAAGAGAGAGTATGAGAGAGAACACAAGTGGGGAGAGTGGCAGAGGGAGAGAGAGAAGCAGAGGGAGAGGGAGAAGTAGGGAGCCCAACGTCAGGCTCAATCCTAGGACTCCAGGATCATGACCGGAGCTGAAGGCAGACACTTAAGTGGCTGAGCTACCCAGGTGTCCCCAGATTTTGTAATTTTAAACTTTATTTGCTGTCACTGTTATTTACCACAGAAGAATATTTTTTAAATAAATGAAGAAATAAAAAGAAAATCCAAAGTTCTATGTATATATATAATTTTAGGATGATTGTTCTAAAAGGTCTGCTTTGATAATTTTTAAGTCATTTCTATTAGTATCGAAAAGGAAAATATCAGATAAGCAGTGTGCTTTTATAAAACGTTTCCTTTATAAAGGTAAATAAGCACTCACATATATAGGAAGTTAAATATTATAACTTTCTCTATTAATGAATATAAAAAATGTTCAAGTTAATATTATACTATTAATGGGTCAACTACTTTAGAGGGGAACACAGAAAATGACTATAAAATCTGTACATATTCTACCTTTAATTTCTAGGGTCTATCACCATTAACTGAACCCAAATATTAGCAATAAAGAATGACCAAAAATATGTACTGATATACAACTTTAAGATTCTAAAATACTGATGCAGGAATGAGAAACCATAAATTCCAAATCATCAAGGGGCACATGGGGGGCTTAGTCAGTTAGGCATCCAACTCTTGATTTGGCCTCAGGTCATAATCCCAGGGTCCTGGGATTGAGTCCTGCATCAGGCTCCCTGCTAAGCATGGAGTCTGCTTGTCTCCCCCATGGAGTCTGCTTGTCTCCCTCTCTCTTTGCCCCTCCCCTGATGCTCTCTATAAAATAAACAAACTTTAAAAATAAATAAAAAATAAAAATAAATTCCAAATCATTTGCCACAGGTTTAAAACAGACTTTTAGAACAAGATTTCATACTGATTAAATTTAGCAAGTCCTTGGGGATTAATTCCTACGTAGTACCAAAACAATAATTTTTAAAAAGAAACTACGATCTCCTAAAGTAAAACATATACTCTATAGAATAATGGTGTAAATATTTTTCAAAGGATAAAACACTAAACAAGCTGGTGAAAGACTGATCACACTATAGAGAAAGGGAAAAAAAGGAAGAGAAAGAATAATTTTCTTATATTTGGGGAATGCGTTTGAGGAGGGAGGAAGGAACCAGACAGAAAAGAATGAATGTCATGAAGTTCCTGGAAAACAAGCTCAAAATACAAGAGCTGGTGCTATTTTTTTAAGGTGTCCAGCTGTCTTACAGACTTAAATTGTTTACCTCATTTTCTGTTCCCACATCCAGAGTAACAGGCAGACATTCTTGAGGATTCATCCCTCCGCAGGCTGTATACAGTGCCAGCTTGCCCACAGGGATGCCCATCCCATTACAGCCAAGGTCTCCCAAGCCAAGAATACGCTCTCCATCAGTCACCACGATGGCCTAGAAGAGAAAGAAAAAGCATCCATTAAAAGATGTTTACAAATCCAGGGGCACAGTCCCTTGCCTCTGCTTCTGAAATTAACACTTATGTAATGAAATATTAAGCTGTCAAAAAACATAGATTGAATATACATCTAAGAGATTTCATATGATCTTAACTGTGGAAGAGTGGAGAGAAGAAATCAAGTTGATACATATTTTTAAATCTTTTTTTAAAAAAATACATATATATGATTACTTTATTCAGTGAAGAAAGAAGAGATGGTATGCACATAAAGATTCAAATAACATCATGGCAAGTGGGAAGAGTACAAGGAAATAGGACCTCAAAGTGGGAACTAAAGAGGAACCAGTCCCATCTACCTCGAGCATAATTCTGGGAGCGCCCTAATTAAAAAATGCATAATTGCTAAGTAGCTCCCAAGTGCTCTGATGTTTAGTTTACGCATCTTGGCACCATCCTCCTATTTTCACAACAATGTTGATCCATCCTCTTTAACTCCTGTAACCACTAGATATTGTCTACCATTTTTGAAATTTATGAAGTACAGTCTGCTACTTCTCTTACCTGATAATCTTCCACTAGGCTTAAATGAATTTTGTTTAGGTTCTTTCCAATCACCCTGAATATCTATGAGCCATTCATTTTAATCATGGGGAGATTTTACTTCTATTTTATTTGACATCTGAGTGAATTAACGCATTTAACATCCTTGTTCTGTGATTCATGGCCATTATATGAATTTAAGCCAAACCAATCTTGTGAAACACAATTTATTAGATTTTCCCAAAACTCCTACACTCATTTTTCCATAAAGTCTTGGGAAAATATCAGTCATTTGACCTTAAATAAACAGATGAATTAAATCTTCTTTTCCTTATTTGTAAAATAGGAATAATAAAGGTACTTTTCAGAAGAGCAGCATAAAAATAGGAACCAACTCTATTTTATTCACTACTGTGCACCAGCACCATGCACAGCATTTGGAACATAGTAAACAATGAATAAACATTAGTTAGTTGCATAAATCTATGGTTCAATAAAATGAGGAATATGATATACAAAGTACATAATACCTGGTACCTTACAAATTCTCAATAAATTGTAGCTATCAAGACTACTATTACCATCAAGAGCATTATGCAGAGTCATGGTATTTTAGAAGGGAAATTTAGAGTATATTCAGTCCATCCCTCTTATTTTATAGATTAGGAAACTGAAGATTAGAGAACTGAAATCATCTAAGGCGACCTGGTTAATACCAAAGAATGGGAAACTGTATACACAAACTCCTCATACAATGTTTTTCCACTATGCCACAGTGCAGAACATATTTTATTTATTTATTTTTTTAAAGATTTTATTTATTTATTTGACAGAGAGAGATCACAAGTAGACAGAGAGGCAGGCAGAGAGAGAGAGGGAAGCAGGCTCCCTGCTGAGCAGAGAGCCCGATGCGGGACTCGATCCCAGGACCCTGAGATCATGACCTGAGCCGAAGGCAGCGGCTTAACCCACTGAGCCACCCAGGCGCCCCAGAACATATTTTAAAATATACTTTTGAGATCTTTTTTCTGTTCACCTATATTATGCAGCTCTTAAAGAACTACCTTAAAAATAAATACATTTGAGAAGTGGGCAAAAATTATTTTTGCATATCCCATAAACCTGGCCTGTATCAAATTTTCCATGTCTAATTGCAAATGATCAATAGGTTATGCTGTTTTGAAGAAGGCAACTTGATACCACTGGTTTAGCTGACTCTGATTTAAGATAAGAAAGATAAACAAATACTACAGAAAATTGTAAGCTTGCTTTTTAAACTAAAACTAAATTTTCTTTTTTTTTTCTTTAAAGATTTTATTTATTTATTTGACAGGGATTACAAGTAAGTAGAGAGGCAGGCAGAGAGAGAGAGGGAGAAGCAGGCTCCCCGCCAAGCAGAGAGCCCGATGTGGGGCTCCATCCCAAGACCCTAGGATCATGACCTGAGCCGAAGGCAGAGGCTTTAATCCACTGAGCCACCCAGGTGCCCCCTAAAACTAATTTTTCAAAGTCTAGCTACTCCAAATACATTTTTGACATTTATTTATAACACTGTCATAGAGGTACTTTTATCTATTACTGATACTGTATACTTTATGTATGTGTCCTTTAAACAGGTAAAGTCTAGTTGGTCTGCAAGTATTTTAAAAATATTTTAATATATGTGCTGCCGAAGCGAGCACTAAAATATTTTAAAAGATATTTTATAAGGAGAGCAACATTGTCATATAACTTAGGTATGATCTGAGTAGTAATTTATGTAATGTTTTCCAGGTTCATTAAAGATATTTAGACCCAGGGAGTTGCTACTTGTGAGTTTCATCCGTTTCAACATTTTTGAAAAAGGGGTTGCAAATGACATAATATTTTCACTTATTTTTGATAACACATCTAACTTAAAATAATCTATGTCTTGTATATAAAATCAAGGGAAAATGTTATTTTTCTTCTTTTCTTCATAAATTTTATTCCTTAAGCTCTCCTCTCATTCTAAGCTATTAATTTTATTACATAAATATGCCATGGACATTTAGATAGGTGTTAGTTGAGTAATTTTTTCTAAAGATTTGCTCATTTATTTGAGAAAGAGAGCATGAGGAGGGGAGGGGCAGAGAGAGAGGAGAAAGAGAATCCCAAAGAGGCTCCACGACCACCAAGGAGCCCGACGTGGGGCTCCATCTCAGGATCACCTGGGCAGAAATTGAGTCGGACGCTCAACCAACTAGCCACCCAGGTGCCCCTGAGTAATTTTTAAACTCTGTTTTGAGGCATTTGCTATTTGATCTACTTATGCCTTGTTACAAATGCACATTTGTAACATTAATTCACAAACATTTCAACACTAAAGTGTAGATTTTAATAGTGAAGGAATCTTCTGAAAAATAAAAAATGTGTCATCTACACAGTTTATCATTAAATTGACATTCCCTTGGCTTTTGTTTTTACCTACTTCATATCCCACTTAAGCAAAATCAAGCATTTGCATATCTTCTACACAATAATGAAGTTACAACAGGAGGATTATCTCAGTAAGACGATCATAATTCTCTCAATGATGTCTGCATTTCAGAAATTCCATCTTCCTCCTACTGCATCAATTATTACCTGGGCATTAGCTCACTAGTAACTCTGCATGAGTAGGCAGGGGTTCTCCTGAATGCACACAGACACCCTCACCATGTGTCCTGTCTTCATGCCTTCTTTTCCTTCCCCAGGGCCTTTCTGCTGTGGCCTACACTTGGATGCACAACTCTTGCCTCTTCTCCTCGGACTGATGAGCCTTCCTCAAGTATTACCTACATAAAGTCATTCACATCTGGAAATAGGACATTCTATTACTTCAAGTCTAAATCCCTCTTTATGAACTTCAAGATCTTTTATAATAATTTGGTCACCTCTTGGGGTGCTTGGGTGGCTCAGTGGGTTAGGCCTCTGCCTTCAGCTCAGGTCATGGTCTCAGGATACTGGGATCGAGCCCCACGTCGGGCTCTCTGCTCAGCGGGGAGCCTGCTTCCTCCTCTCTCTTTCTCTCTCTTCCTGCCTCTCTGCCTACTTGTGATCTCTCTCTCTATGTATCAAATAAATAAATAAAATCTTTAAAAAAAATAATTTGGTCACCTCTTACTTAAGCCATCTTAATGCCATTACATTTCCATAGTTACACTTGGTGTTAGTCAGACCAGCCAATTAATTCACTTACTGCACAAACACATACCATTCTCTTCCTGAACTAGGACTTACATTCATCTGTGCCCTTCTTCGGATAGTATCTTCTTCCCATTCTAATTATCAATGACTAAATTTAAGTTCCAATTTTGATATAAAAATTTAGCCATTTTAGCCTTCTCTGAATGATCATCTTCTCTGAATGAATACAGCATTTATAATTTATACCAGTTTAATTATATATCATCTAATAGATTGCCTTTGTTTCATGTGTGCTTTCAACTACAGTAGAGACCACATCTTATTCTTCAGTATTCTATTACAAGAAACAGCTGCCATTAAGTGCCTATTATGTGCCAGATACTATGCTAGGCTTTTAAAATAATAATAAGTATAGTTAGGATCAGGAATAACAGTGAGAGACCAACATTAAGAGCTGAAAGAATAAAGGTAGGCTACTAACAAAGACAAATATTCAGAGATGAGCTAGCAGGAAGAGCACAAAACAAGGTGACTGTGTATTGTCTGGCTGTTATGATGATGTGGTTATTAATTAGTCCTGATACTGACTCATTCTTAAAAATCCTCTCTAGATTCCAGTCAAAATGTAAGCGTCTTCTCAGACATCTTATACTACACAGAATTAACTCACTGTGGGGGAGTTTCTGAGGACAGGACCCAAGGCTAATGCAGTCTACCTGGGAGAAAAGCTGAGGAAGCAACTTTGGTAAGAAAAGTGAAACAACTGGGAAGATTAGAAATCATGAAAAACATCTGGCTTTACAAGTTAGCCTGGCATAAGCCTTACAGAGCAGAGTCCATCAATACTAGCCACGACTGCTCAAAAGAATGGGAGCGATGCTTTGGGAGTCACAGCTAAAGTGCCTCTGTAGTCATCAGCTTGTTCAACCCTACTCCTAAAACACAGTGATGTAGGAAACCAAAGCAGAAGAAAAATTATTAAATTTCCTTACTACCTACAGCTCATTGAAAGGTCCTTGAAATAGGCAGAGTGACATTCCTCTAGGGACTCAACAGCCTAGATGTTAATACTTTGCTGAGGGCAAAAGGCAATCTTAGCCCGACACCCGTCCTCCAGCCGCGCCAATCCCCGCCACCCCACCCCACCCACCATCGGGATCCTATAAGTGTACTTTAACATATAAAAATTCCTCTGGAAACTTCCTTTATCTCTAAATCCCTCCAAGACACATGCTGGTAATCATCCTCCAAGCATGTGACCCAGTGATATACATCTGAAGGGTCTCATGACTAAGGTTTTATTAGACGGTAATAAATGTCCTTTTCCCAGCAATTGCTAGCCCCCTCAAGGTCCAGGAAACCTTGCTTCCAAAATTCCTTAGACACTTACACTCTCCCTGACCACCCCGCTCCAACTTGAAAGTATCTAATGGGCCACTCCTCATGACTGTGGTACAGCTCTTTCTGCCCAAGGGTCCTGTCCCCATGCTTTAAAAAATCATCTTTTTGCACCAAAGATGTGTGAAGAGTTCTGTCTTTGCTGTCGGCTTCGAACCCTAATGGCTTGCCTACTTCAACAGCACAAAGTTGCTCAAAGTTGTTTGACACCTAACAGAAAGTTAATTAAAAAAAAAAAAAAAGCCAGGAAAGGGACTAGTACATTTCACCTTCCTTTGACAAGGAAGGCCATAGAGACCATGTCTAAGAGCAAGGGCTCTGTGGCCTGTGTTCAGTTTCCACCACCACCAGACACTATAGTATAGCCCATCCCCCCTTCCTTTCCTTACTGAATTATGATAATTACAAGAGTCAATCCAGGTAGGGTCTCACACAGAAAGCTACTAAATGTTGGATACTATTCTTGTTTTATTTTCATTAGGTCATTCAGAGAGGGAAGTCAGATGAACAACTGAAGGCCATAATGATAAAGGAAGTGAATGAATGGATTTTTTTTGGGGGGGGAGTCTGTGTTCCTCTTAGCGGATGATTAAAGCCAACAAATGTGAAAAGGGACTTTGCTTCAAGAAATTCACAGGCAACTTCAACATTTATCATCAACGGGCCAAGAAATGCTAAGAAATCAGATAGAAATAACAGAGAAACTTAGTCTTTAATCGGTACCAAAATAAAATTAATCCAGTATGCAAAAATTGAAGAGATAATAAATTAGGTGACATTCAGTAAAAAAGACAGTGAATGCTGATGTGAAGAACAAAGGCAAAAAGGAAATGCAGATAAAATTAAAGGTCGGTATAACCTGCAGCCCACTGACAAATACCTGAGGCAGGCAGAGTATGACATTTCTCCAGGGACTCCCAATCCTAATGTTAATGCCTTACTAGAGGAAAACACCACCTTAGCCTGAGGAGAGCCAGGGCTCCAGGATCCTGCGAGTCTTCTTTAGCAATATGAAAATCCTTTAAAAAACTTCCCTTGTCTTTACCTCCCCCAACTCCATAGTATATCATCAATTGCTCCTCAGAATCCCGCAGCAGTCCTTTGTGCTGGTCGTGTTCCCGTGCCTTAATAAAACCACCTTTTCACACTGGGAATGTCTCAAGAATTCTTTCTCGGCTGTCGGCTCCAAACCCCAACATTTCCACGTCAAATGCCATCTAATATCATGAAAATTATTAATATGTTATGGAATAGGTAAAAGAACAAATTTGCCACAGTGGAAAAATTAGATGACTTACCTTGATGACGTCTTCTGGCCATGCATTAAGAACTGAAGCAATATGCCCTCGATCATGGATACTAATGAAGAGACCTCTGGCAGAAAAAAGAGTTTTAATTTACTTCAGACTTGCCAAAATATCATGAACTTTAAAAATTTTTTTCCAAATCAGTTTAATACACCTCCATTTTTATCAAACTAGTGAAAATTACTCCCTTAAATAAAAGCTAGGGATCTTATAAATAAGGGAGAAATTACTTTAAACAATATATTGACATCTATAATAAATTCATTCTTACATTACATATTCTTAAACATTTTGTAATTAAAGAAGTATTTGCTCTTTTATATACAGAGAATTTAAGTAGCATCATGAATTCCACTCATAGATTCACTTAGTTTGTTATTTAATAATATGTATTTAATATTTAATAATATGTTATTTAATAATATATGTAAAAGCACCTAGAAAACATGAGGCATGTGTAAACAGGCTCATATACTCCACTTACTGGGTATTCACAATGTGAAGAGGAAAGCCTGTATTAGAAATGGCTTTAAGTGGGGCACCTGGGTGGCTCAGTGGGTTAAAGCCTCTGCCTTCGGCTCAGGTCATGGTCCCAGTGTCCTGGGATCGAGCCCCACATCGGGCTCTGTGCTCTGCAGGGAGCCTGCTTCCACCTCTCTCTCTATCTGTCTGCCTCTCTGCCTACTTGTGATCTCTGTCTGTCAAATAAATAAATAAAATCTTAAAAAAAAAAAAAAAAGAAATGGCTTTAAGTGACAGCAGCCCTTTTGTGTGAAACATACTTGATTTTTTTTAAGTTCAATCATCCAAGTTATAATTCTTTAATTTGCAGTCTTAGTTGCTCTCTGCAACTCTGTCATCTGGAGTCAACTGAAGTCTTTAATACTGCTCCTCTCCTGTCCCCCATTCCCTAGGAAAAGTCTAACAATGAACTAAAAATTCAACTGAGAAATAAATTTAATGTCTTAATCTCATTTAAAACTTTTACTTTACTATTTATTATTGCTAAATGTAACTCAAATACAGAGAACCACACACAACCAACATACAGCTTAGTGAATTAGAAGGCGACCACCCTTGTATGTAACACCCATTTAAGCAGACACTCTTGTCAGTATTCCAGAAGCCCTCCATGTGTTTCTCCCAATCAAAACCACTCCCTCTTAAGAGTAACAACTGTCCTGACTTTTATGGCATCATTTTATTCATAGTTCTAGCATCCAAATGATAAGCCATCCCTAGACACTACAATTTGTCTTCTAAAGCTTCCCATAATCTGGATTTTGCTGATTACGTTCCTATGGTATAGATTAACAGATTAATCTTTCTTCCCTACTTCTTGAGAAATTGGTAATTGAATCTAAAAGCTTAATCAGATTCATATCCATTTTTTAACAAGATACCTCATGGTCTGGTATTATCAGAAGATGTATAGTACTGTCACTAGCTAGACCCTAAGACCTGATCTTTATTGTCCACCTGCTTGTGCTCACCAACCTCTGTCCCACATTATTCCTAAAGCTCCTCTTTCCACCTTCTCTCTTAGGCGTATGGAAAGCAAAACCATCTCTTAAGCCATAGCAACTGGCCTGGCAAAACTGGCCCAGACCAGCCAGATCAGCCTTGAATTTAACCCCTGACTTGCATCTGCACAGATGGACCATGCAGTGAGTTCTAAAATGATCAACAACTATCTTTATCTGGTTATCATACTAAAATCTCTACCGAAGGAGGGGCACCAGCCGCGCCTCATTTACACAACATACAATGTGTGTATAGGCCTGTTTCCTTAATGGCACATACGCCACCTTCTGCCTGCCTCTACTTAAAAAGACAAAGCTTCCCTATCTAAATATTCACCCCACCCCAAAATAAAAGGCACGCATTCACCCTTGCTCAGGTAGTCATGGCTTTGGAAGCTATTCTGGGTGATCTCCTTATTTGCCACAAAAAAAAATTACTTTGTGTGTCAACTCAACAGGGTGCTGTTTCTGATTCAACAAGGAGGGAACTCACATTGGTTCAGTTACATTATCTTGTAGTCCTTTATGTGATTTTAACACTGGCAATGCTTAATATCTAAATTCCTTAATTCATTAGGGTTACAAAATGGAATATTCTAATTCTGTCACTTATTCCTAATTTACTTGCTGAAATTCTTATTTAAAGAGAAATTTCACCATACCTATTGTTTGGTTACCCAATGATAAAGCTGATACAAATGCTGGATTCTTTCTCTTTACTTGTCAGTTTTTGAAATAAAGAGCTCACTTGCCGGGCACCTGGGTGGCTCAGTTGGTTAAACATCTGACTCTTGACTTCGGCTCAAGTCATGACCTCAAGGTGGTGAGACTGGGCCCCAAATGGGGCTCCATATTCAGCAGGGAGTCTGCTTGAAATTCTCTCTCTCTCCATCTTCCTCTGCCCCTCCCCCTGCTCAAATGCTCTCTTTCTCTCTCTCTAAAATAAATAAATCTCAAAAAAAAAAAAAAGAGCTCATTTGCTAGAATCCTTCAAGAGCTTCCACTAAAGTGTGTGTGTGTGTGTCTGTCTGTCTAAATGCATGCGTGTGTTGTGTATGTGTTATGTGTGTCTATGTTTTGGATCAATATGAACTCATGGATTTAAACATATCTGATACGTTTTAATCCACTGTAGTTAGTTTCTTTATTGATACCAAATTGTCCCATACTTAACCAGTGGAAGACTCATGTTGGCCTCAGAGTCCTTTTGATGTGACTATAATTAGTTGGTTTGCCCAATTCAGTGCTTGAACTCATGACCCTGAGATTAAGACCTGAGCTGAGATCAAGAGTCAGACGCTTAACCAACTGAGTCACGGGGCACTAGATGATGATAGCTTTTGACAGCTTCCTTGTTCTCTGTTATGACAAGATGTTCCTTGTTGTCTTGAAAATGTCTGCCTCAGGCCTGAAATGAGCCATTTCTCTAAGAAGTCCTGGTTTCTTTTACTAGAAAATGGTATTTCAAGACCACAATACAGGTAAAAGACATCCTACCTGCTTCCGTTTGGTGAAAGTACTATTATAAAAAAAATTACAAAATAATGTTAAGATTCACGTCCTATCTATGGCCAGAATTCTCAAATTCATTCTCTTCTTTTTTTTAAGTTTTGTTATTTAAATAATTTCTACACCCAACATCGGCTTGAATTCATGACATCCAGAGCTGGACACGCTTCCGACTAAGCCAGTCATGTACCCCCACGTTGGCATTCTTCTTTTGCAAAGTGTACCACTATGACTTCCTAGCAACTTCAACTTAGCAGTCTCTGAGAAGCCATTTCACACTTCCTCATTTCTCCTCACCTACATGTATCTTCCTCTCACACTCAGTTGATCATCAAATCTTAATTTCAAACAGGAATAGACTCAATAGGGTGAAAACTGCTTCCTCTTTCTAATATAAACTCTATTAACCCATCTGCATCTTTTTAAATAGACTTCATTTTTTAGAGCAGCTTTAGGTTCGCAGTAAAATTGAGCAGAAGGTTCAGAGATTTCTCATAAACTTCCTGCCCCCACCATGTCTAGCCTTGCCCATTATCAACATTCCTCATACCACAGCAGGCACGGACACATCATTACCAGCCAGAGCACAGGGTTTACGTTATGGGTCACTCTTTTTTTTTTTTTTTTTTAATATTTTACTTATTTATTTGACAGAGATCACAGGTAGGCAGAGAAGCAGGCAGAGAGAGAGGAGGAAGCAGGCTCCCTGCTGAGCAGAGAGCCCGACGTGGGGCTCTATCTCAGGACCCTGGGATCACGAACTGAGCCGAAGGCAGAGGCCTTAACCCACTGAGCCACCCAGGCGCCCAACGTTACGGTTCACTCTTGGTGCTGTACATTCCGGGGATCTGGACAAATTCATAGTGCTGTGTATCTACAACTGTAGTATCACTCAGAGTAGATTCACTGCTCTGTACATCCTCCCTGCTCTATCTATTTATCCTTCCCTCTCAAGCCCTTAGCAACCACTCATCTTTTGACTGTTTCCATACCCTCCCCTTGTCTAAAATGAAATCATGCAGTTTATGGTTATCAGTTTATGGTTATCAGAGTTGAAATCATGCAGTTTATGGTCTTTTCAGATGGGCTTCTTTCACACACTAATAAGCATTTAAGTTTCCTCCATGTCTTTTTATGGCTTCAGAGCTCATTTCTTTTTAGCACTGGGTAATATTCCATTGTCTGGATGTACTACACTGTGTTTACCCATTCACCTGCTGAAGTATATCATGGTTGCTCACAAGTTTTGGCAATTATGACAAAGTTCTTGAAAACATTTGTGTGCAGGTTTTTGTGTGGCCATAAGTTTTTAATTCCTTTGGGTAAATACCAGGAATGGAATTACTGGATCACGTGATAAGAGTAGCTTTAGTTTGGGGTGCCTGGGTAGCTCAGTGGGTTAGGTGTCTGCCTTCAGCTCAGGTCACAGTCCCAGAGTCCTGGGATCAAGCCCCGCATCATGCTCCTTGCTTAATGGAGAGCCTGCTTCTCCCTCTCCCTCTGCCCGCTGCTCCCCCTGCTTGTGCTCCCTCTGTCAAATGAATAAATAAAAAATCTTAAAAAAAAAAAAAAGAGTAGGTTTAGTTTTGTAAGAATTCACAAACTCTTCCAAAGTGGCTGTATCATTTTGCATTCTCACCAGCAATGAATGAGAGTTCTTATTGTTCCACATCCTGACCAACACTTGGTGGTGTCAGGGTTTTGCATTTTGGTCATTCTAATAATTGTGTGGTGGTATCTTGCTACTGTTTTAGTTTGTATTTCCCTGATGTGCAATGTGGAACATCTTTTCATGTGCTTATTTGCCATCAATATATATCTTCTTTGGTGAGGTGCCTATGAAGATCTTTATGCCCATTTTTAAATTGGTTTGTTTTCTTATTGTTGATTTTTAAGTTATTTGTATATTTTAGATAATAGTCCTTTATCAGATACATCTTTTGCAAATACTTTTTCCCAGTATGTGGCTTGTCTTTTAATTCTCATGACAGTGCCTTTTCTTTTTAGGTAAGTTCAATACCCAGTATGGGGTTTG